GCGCAGACTCCCCACTGAGACGGCCACACAGAGTGGTCTCTCCCAAAGCTACTAGGACCCCCTCTGTAACATCATATGACACCAGAAAATCCTCTGAAATTCAACCTAAAGTGACGTTTTTAGAAAATCCTGCCGGGACTCTACCTTCAGGGTTTTTAGCTGGTCATGATGCACATCAATTGACTGAGACCTTATATGAAAGAGACCAACACTTTGGGGATGTAAGGCCCATTCCAGCAAGACGCACATCTCTTCCTCAAGAATCACCCACAAGAAATAACAGTCAAAAAGTAACTGAAGGCCCACTGACAGCCTTAGTAGAGGATGCACTACTCTCAAATCCGAAAGCTGTTCCTTCTGATGACTTCCTCTCTGAACTCAGTCCACCTCTCAGCCCTCAGCTCAGGAGCACAGCACGAGATACAGCCAGCCCACCAAAACTGAAGCCTGCTTTCTCCAGCTCAGAGTCCTCTCCTCAGCCAGAAAAAATCACCCTGGAGGATCTCACAGAGCCACTGCCAGAGCAGAGCCACATTCCAGAGCTTCTCCTGGACACTGGCGTCCCAGAAGGCCTCACTGTCCCGCGCCTACAGAGTCCACAACATCTACAGCAAAACCCACCACCAGCCACACAGAGTCCTGAGGATTTGCAATCCTCACGTAAACCTTCAGTGGCGGAGCAGGAGGATGACGGGGAACAAACATGGGAAAGAGAAAGAAAGGAAAGACAAGAACAAAGACTGAGAGAGCAAGAAGAGGCCAGAGAGAGGGAGCTGCAAGAACTGGAGCGACTAGAGAAAGAACATCTCTTGCAAGAGGAAGACCAGGCAGCAACAGAAGAGGAAGGTAATATACCAGACATTTAAGCAGACTTTTGCTGGTGTGTGTATATATATTGTAAATGCTTTTTCTTTATTGTTTCACTTTTTGTTGTATAGCACTCTTCAAACTTTCTTTATTTGGGAACACTAATTAAACACTCAAAAAACATCCTTCTGACTACGCCATCGTTATTACAATAAGATAGAACCCCGTCACATGTGGTGAGTTGTTGAGTGAACAACTTAAGTTCATCGTTGACCAGCTAAACAGGGAGCCATTCAAGAAAAACTTGAACCTCATCACATTTGATTCCCTCAAGCCAATGCAACTGCTACAGATTTTAAATGATGTTTTGGCTGAAATAGACCCAAAGCATGCTATAGATGATGATACAGAAGATGATACGAGAAAACCACAGCCACAACATGGAGCAGATGAAGATGTGGAAGGATCTGGAGTTACTGATAGAATGTAAAAAACAGTGCTTCATTAAGGCTCAAAACCAGGCATCTATTGGCAAGGTCATTCAAGAAGGAGGAGAGGACAGGCTTGTATTGTAAACTTAGACTGTTCACGCACACTACAATCAAATATGGTCACTTCAGTTTTTATTTATAGAGGTACATTCTATACATACATTTTGCCATTTCATTTTGAGATTTTAGGAGACTCTTTTCTTTCAAAAATCACCATTAATACATGACAAACTTTAAGGTAAAAAAAGGCAGATATTTTTATCTCTTTGTCAATGCTCCCACTTCTTTAAATTGGTCTAGGTTGGTTTCTTGGAGGTGTTGCTAAACATTTTTTTTCAATAACCCACTGGACATGTGGTTTTGACACATGTTTGTGGAGCTGTGTCCTAAATAAAAGTTGTGCGTTGTAAGTTTTGTCTCTCTGCCATAAGGTGTGACTGTCTTCTTTGCTGTCCTTGCTGTCCTTACTGTCTTTGCTGGCCTTTATGACACTTCAAAGTTCTAAAAGGATTAATTATCGCCATAGTGACATGTCACTATGGCGATGGGGGAGAGGAATTCATTGTTATTTTTCAAATCTCTGTTCTACATAAATACGACAGATAGTATATATATATATATATATATATATATTATATATAATACGCAAAAAATGGACATGTCCATGGTCACTCTATATTATATAGGGCTGCAGAGAACGTTCATGTTTTTAAGAGTAGGCTCAAGACCCACCTTTTTAGCTTAGCTTTTGAATGAAATATCGTCTCTCTGCCATAAGGTGTGACTGTCTTCTTTGCTGTCCTTGCTGTCCTTACTGTCTTTGCTGGCCTTTATGACACTTCAAAGTTCTAAAAGGATTAATTATCGCCATAGTGACATGTCACTATGGGGGAGAGGAATTCATTGTTATGATGGGAACATTAGCTCCGTTAGCTTCGTTCGCTGAAAAACGTCAGTGCTTGATCAATCTTTATTTTTAGGCTAATATATGTAGCATGCAATTCTTCGAACGATCTGCTCTCAAACAAGATAGCTGTTTTATCCAATACAGGGTTTGCTAGATCGTGGAGATCAGGGGTGAGTTGGGCTAGCTATCTTTTTGGAGTGGACATATCGTGACAAAATGAGTGAACAACTTAAGTTCATCGTTGACCAGCTAAACAGGGAGCCATTCAAGAAAAACTTGAACCTCATCACATTTGATTCCCTCAAGCCAATGCAACTGCTACAGATTTTAAATGATGTTTTGGCTGAAATAGACCCAAAGCATGCTATAGACATCCGTGAAGAAATGCCAGAACAGACAACCAAAAGGATGTGTGCTCTTCTGGGGATGCTTAAATACAAGCCACCAGGAAACCTATCTGATGTAAGCAGATTCAGACAGGGCTTGGTTACGGGCAGTAAACAAGTGGTCCACCCCATCCTCTTTTGGTTACTGCAGAAGGTCCCTGAGCTGAAGAAACGTGCCTATTTGGCCCGATTTCTTGTTAAATTGGAGATACCAGCTGAATTCTTGCAGGACGATGTCATCAATGAGACTTATCACCAGTATGAAGAACTGGTGGAAGGTTTTAAGACCTATCACAAGGAGTGCGAGCAGCTGAGGACATCCGGGTTTTCTACAGCTGAGATTAGAAGGGACATCAGTGCAATGGAGGAAGAGAAAGACCAGCTGATTAAGCATGTGGAAAGGCTGAAGAAGAGGGTGGAGTCAGTGTCCAACCATCAGAGGATGCTGGAGCAAGCCAGGCAGCTGAGAGTGGAGGAGAGGGAGGAGGAACTGGCTCATCAGAAACAAGAGCAGAAGAATCAGCTTTTCCAGGCCGAACAGAGACTCCAGAGGTCCCAGCAGCAGTTGAAGGATTTGCGACAGGCTTCGGCTGATGCCAGTCCAGAAAGCCTAATGAAGAGACTTGAAGAGGAGATCAAGATAAACTCCTATATGGTTTTGGAAAAATTACCTAAGGAGCTTGACAGCATGCGGAGAACAGTGCAGTTTCTTCAGAAAGTAGCATCAGAACCTGCCATGGGCCAAGCAGATGTTCAGGAGCTAGAGGACAAGATTAAAGATGTTGATTCAAAAATAAACCAGTTAATAGAGAAGAGGATGATGAGAAATGACCCAATGGATGACAAATTGACTCTATATAGGCAACAGGCCTCCATAATCATCCGAAAGAAAGAGGCTAAAGCCGAGGAGCTGCAGGAGGCAAGGGAGGAGCTCTCCAATGCAGAGAAAGAGCTCAATCAGAGAGGCGACCATGGAGCAGATGGAGACGGCATGGTCAAAATTGAAGAGATGCAAAGGCTGGTGTCAAGGCTGCGCAGCAAAGGAACCCAATACAAGATGCGGCAGAAGGAGTTGGCAGAGATACAGACAGAGTATGGAGTCCTGCAGCGGACAGAGGACATTCTGACAAAAGAACACGAGGCTGTCCAGAAGAGACTGGAAACTGTAGAAGCTGAAAGGGGGATTGCTGGCTACAGCAACACACAAGAAGAACTGGAGCGAGTGTCTGCCATTAAAAGTGAACTGGATGAGAAGAAAGGCAGAACACTGGACGACATGTCAGAAATGGTGAAGAAATTAATCTACATGATTGCTGAAAAAAAGGAAGCTTTGTCTCCACTCATAAAAGAGCTGAGATCACTGAGAGAGCAAAGCCACAAGGTACGGCAGGAGTACGAGGACAAGAAGGCCCAGTATGAACGCACTGCTACTGGTCTCGAGAGCAAATGTTCAAAGCTGGAGCAGGATGTTAAAGTGCTGAAAGAGGAGACGGCGCAAGATGAGAACCGCTACCATTATCTCAACAGCCAGTCCCAGATCATTGAGATGCAAATTCAGCGGGCGGCCGATGAGGTGAAGGCCTACGTGTCCTCAGACCCACAGGAGAGGAAGAAGACGGTCAGGGAAATGTACTTGAAAAACATCTCAGAGCAGGATCTACTTGGAAAGAAATTGCGTGAAAAGCAGAAGATGATACGAGAAAACCACAGCCACAACATGGAGCAGATGAAGATGTGGAAGGATCTGGAGTTACTGATAGAATGTAAAAAACAGTGCTTCATTAAGGCTCAAAACCAGGCATCTATTGGCAAGGTCATTCAAGAAGGAGGAGAGGACAGGCTTGTATTGTAAACTTAGACTGTTCACGCACACTACAATCAAATATGGTCACTTCAGTTTTTATTTATAGAGGTACATTCTATACATACATTTTGCCATTTCATTTTGAGATTTTAGGAGACTCTTTTCTTTCAAAAATCACCATTAATACATGACAAACTTTAAGGTAAAAAAAGGCAGATATTTTTATCTCTTTGTCAATGCTCCCACTTCTTTAAATTGGTCTAGGTTGGTTTCTTGGAGGTGTTGCTAAACTTTTTTTTTCAATAACCCACTGGACATGTGGTTTTGACACATGTTTGTGGAGCTGTGTCCTAAATAAAAGTTGTGCGTTGTAAGTTTTGTCTCTCTGCCATAAGGTGTGACTGTCTTCTTTGCTGTCCTTGCTGTCCTTACTGTCTTTGCTGGCCTTTATGACACTTCAAAGTTCTAAAAGGATTAATTATCGCCATAGTGACATGTCACTATGGGGGAGAGGAATTCACTTGTTATTTTTCTAATCTCTGTGTTCTACATAAATACGACAGATAGTATATATATATATATATATATATATATATATATTTTAGACCAGTGTCCTCTGCGCTCGAAAATCGGGTCGTCCTTCAAACTAGAAACAGGACAACAATTTTGATCTCCCACACAAGAAAATGGCAGGAACGATTGCCCGTAAAGCTGTAGACCATTTGAAAAGCAAGGAGTTCAGAGATTATTTGATGAGCACGCATTTCTGGGGACCTGTGGCAAACTGGGGTCTACCTATAGCAGCCATCTCAGATATGAAAAAGAGCCCTGAGATTATCAGTGGCAGAATGACCTTCGCTCTCTGTTGCTACTCACTCGTGTTCATGAGATTTGCTTACAAAGTGCAACCCCGCAACTGGCTGTTGTTTGCCTGCCACATAACCAACGAAACAGCTCAGTTAATCCAAGGAAGTCGTCTCATCAAATACAATCTTGAGAAGAAGTCATCATAATCACCAAATCGCCTACATGCCAGAGCTTTGGAACTCCGTGTAAAATGTGGCTAATTTACTCTGATCAAAAGTCACATTTGGACAGAGTCTAGTAATAAGGTCAATTCTTGGGGTGTATTTCGGCAGTGTAACATTAAAGAAAATGTTAATATCCAATAATTGAGTGATTGATTGATGCCTTAAAAATATGTTTTAGTGCACAGCCAAGATGGTAAAATGGAACGACTACTTTGAACAATTATACATAATGCAGGTCTTGGGCATCAATATTTGTATTTTCTGAATGTGTAAAACACATTTACATTACATCACATTTAATTGATAAAACTGTCACCCATGCTAATATGAAGTTGAACACACCAGTATGTTATACAAGTAAATATAGGTATACATTTAATAAGGTTATTTGCTATTATTTGATTCAAACTGGACATCTCATTTGTTGATGCTGACCAAATCCGTGTTAACATATTCACATTAATTTAACATGTTTTTGTTATTTGATTCATTTTCCCTTAAAATGGAACATGATTTCTTCAAATAAAAAACACTTTTTAATGATGAAAAAAAAAAAAAAAGAGCAGCTGGTTAGCTCAATTGGGAAGTCACACCAACTCCCCAACCAGAGATTGGGTACGAAACCCCAATAAGTATCACGCTGAGCGAGGCAGTGACTGACCTGAAAGATAAGATCATGGCCCGAATGAACACAAGGCAACCCCGATGCCAGTTACAGAGGCTAAGTGAAGTACCATCTGAAAGTCTCCTAGACGATGTGAATGCAGCACTGAGAGCGATCCCTACCACAACAATCACTGAAACCAATGAGCTGATGTACACTTCAGCAGCAGTGATCCTAGATGTGTTGGGCTATAAGAGCAACCATGGGAGCCATGCGATACAATACCCACCATGGCAAAGACGGTTAGAGGCTAAAATCAAGGAGGTGCGGAGAGAAGTGAGCCAACTGTCAGAGGCCCAGAAAGGTGCAATGAAATTGGTACATCAGATACAACAGATAGAAGGGGGTGGGGTGGAGGGTTTACCTTACATATTGAATTTGAAGACACTCTATAAATGTAAATACACATGTGAATGCATTGGGATTAGTAAAGTTTCTGTGTAAAGTTTTGCATTGTGTTTTTGTATGTTTATGGTGGCTGGCCTCAGTCCAGCAGAGGACTAAGGATGAAAATGTGTTCTCCATTCCCAGTTTTCCTACAGTCCCTCAAGTTTCTCGCTCACTCCAAACTTTCTTTCTGCTGCTCAATTACCGTTTTCAGCTGAATATTTCACTATTTGCAGCAGGACAGCAGCTTTTTCTGCAGGAGACGTGCGCAGCAGAGCGAAGTGACAGTGGTACAGGAGTAATAGGAGTAGCAGATACTGACACACAAGCCTAGAGCGCCCTCTTGCTGCTGTCAGTCTGAACATTTTAATAAATAAGTCGCACCGGACTATAAGTCACAGGACCACCCAAACCACAAACAAAAGTGTAACTTATAGTCCGAAAAATACAGTACCTCTTTAACTGTCTGGCCTAAAGTACATCATGATCTTCTGCGACTTGAGAACATTCTCCAATAACACACCTGATGTAAAGCCATGAGCAGACATGGACACAAACTCTATATGTTAAAGCCCAAGAAACTGCACATAAATTACTCTTTACTGATGCCAGAGAAAGAGCTCCCAATCTGGCACCCCCTGTCAGCAGACGGCAGTGGAGAATAGCTGGATTGTGGCAGTTGCTGCAGACTTAGCTGTGATGGGTAAAACTCCTCCAGGCGTTCTGAAGACTGTCTCATCTTCAACACTGTCAATCTGTGGGAAGGCAGAAATAACCCAAGTGTAGAACCTTAGGTGGTACAAAAAAATACACCAATGCTTAAAGGTAGTTTCTGGAATATTCTAAAAGTCATGTTTAGTCAATTTCCCCTATTACACGAAATTGACTCTTGTGAGCTTTAAATTATGTTAGAACGTTATTTCCTCCTCAAAAACATACCTGTTGAGCTGTTTTGTTTCATTTACACATTTGAGTAATCCTTTATTTTTAGTCTGTCTATATCTCCGAAGCTCAAAATGTTCTGTTCCACCTTGTGACCTCATGATGCTGTAGTTTTCATCTACTTTTTACCTTTTGATTAGTACAAACTGGAAATTTCAAGGTGGAAATGATCAAAATGTTCTCATGAAGGTGTATATATTACTACATGACATCACAAAGTGGATCAGAAAAGTTTTCAGTTTCAGAGAAGAATTCAGCCTAAATATAGTGAGGCCTGTAACGATAACAGATTTTGCTGGTCGATTAATTGACCAAGAATTTATTGTGATAAACGATAATATTGACATTTTGAGACCGATTTCAACTTAATATGAATAAAAATGGAATAAAAATGCAAATACACCCTCTCAAAGATCAAAAAAACCTTACTTTGTAAAGAACATTTAACACAGGAACTGTAAGACAACCAAAAACAACAGGCCTAAATAAAACACACTTGTTAACACAGGACTAGCCTAATGTAGTCTGGCTCACAGCAAAGACTTGTTAACAAAAATGCACTTGAATAAACCACTGTTGAATCAAACACAACCAAAGCATTAAATAAAATGTATTATTAAGTCTCTGGGCCCAGTCAAGCAGAAGTATACAGCAAATTCAAGTTAATGCATCTGATATAAAAATATATTCAACAGATAGCATATGTACTCTAGTTTATGAAACTGTTTACCTTTTTTCTGGACCATTTTTGGTTCTAAAGTTACATACGTTTTAAACAGACCATGTATGCAACATGGAACAAAAATTATTTCCCAAATTTCAAAGACCTGCAAATCATGTAAATAAATGGATGTATTTCATCATATCTTGTGTTATTCGATCTTTGAACTGTTCATGAAGGTACATGATTTATTTTTTTTTTTTTATGTATTTAAAATGATAAAAATTTGCTTGGAAGGACTGACATATTTTATAGAAATAGTTTCCTTTCATTTTGAAGTAATATTAAAGTATTCAGAAGAAAAAAACTGACAAATTATGTAAAATCATGCACCTTCTACTTGCTTGCACAATTTTCCCTCCGTTACTTTTCCCTCCGTTACCATGACCTTTCTTAATAAAAAATCTCATTACTCAAAAAGTAAGAGTTTTTTCAATCTAATCTTGTACCATATGGTAGAAAACTATATGAAGCGAATATTCAAACCAGTTTGTTAAGGATATGTAAGTGAGAACTGGTAGTTATCGCTGTTTGTATTTATTGCCTAAAAAGTGCTGCATATTTCATTTCCTCCGTTACCGACATGAATTTTTAAATTTTTTGTCAACAACTTGAAAGAATATCGCAGGATTAACTTTACCCTGTTGGAGTGTTAACTCTTTCCTACATTCTGATACTTTACTTATTTCAATAGTCCCTCTAGTTTCTGAATAAGAGCTATTTGAATGTAAAAAATCTGCCTGTTTCCCTCCATTACCACTTGACCGGACCCACAACAACAAGCACTGGTACAAGCTGGAATTTGCCGACTGTTGACGTAAACTGTTATCAAAATGACAATAAGAACAACTTGCAATATTAAAGATGCACTTTGTAACTTTTTGGTTTGTCTGTAACCTGTTTGTTTCTATGGAGATGTCATTGCTCTGCCTGGAATGTTCCACAGTATGACATTAAACAGCTCTTCTTTACATTTAGTCAATTATAGGTGGTTTATAGCTCCAACAAAAACAGGCACACACCAATGGAGTTCTTCCTGTGTTACCACTGTGCTTTTAAACTCCGTACATCTTCACTAAAATCATTTGGATAATTTCAGCCCTGGAATTGACCATCTCTACTGAACAAAAGGTAAAAGGTAGCTGTTAACTTGAAAACTACTATTTCATTCACAAGGTGGAACAGAGCATTTTGAGATTTGGAGACGTAGACCAGAGGTGGTTTCATTATAATTTATATGTGAATTTTATAATTTTGATATTTTATTTTGAAAACCAGAAGTGCAGCTCCCGTGTGTTTTATTTTGGTAGTTCCACTTCCCCTCTCAGTAGACCGTTGGAGACGGCAGAGGGTCAGTTCTGTCTTCGTTGAAAAGAATATATTTCACAAAAACAACGTACTTTTAGCATAAATACAAAAGCACATGGCGATAACACAGCGTTTTCACATGTAGTGGATGTATTGTGGTGTGCTAATTTTGAGATTTGTAAATTTTATTTGTACTGTAAAATGTTCAAGTTAGCTTAAAACATTGTACTGAATGCCGCCAAAATGAGCAGCTATCTCACGGTGCGGTTCTCACGGTGCGGTTCTCACGGTGCGGTTCTCACGGTGCGGTTCTCACGGTGCGGTTCTCACGGTGCTGTTTAATTACAAGAAGCCAGTGCCTGATATGTGTTAAGACATATTAACAGTATTTATTTCCTGTACTTTATTTATGTAAAAGTTGTAAAATGTGCATTTGTCTCTCCAAATAATTACTCCACTGCAATCAATGTAAATTTAAAATTGTTTTATTGTTCATACATGAGTCACATGAGTTGTAACCCCTGTGTAATATGGTAATAATATGGCCAGTATGTGATTTTTTACTTTCCCGCCCTCCCAGGAAGACAGGGCGCGGCATAGTCACGTTCCCACGGTTTTGAACCTATCAGGTGGCTGATAGGCTGATAGCTCAAGTTATTTTTCAAACTTAGGTCTTCCCACATGCACTTTTAGAGGCAATCTGAGAAAGTGCCTGTGCCTCCTTTTCTCCAAAATTTAAGTGTAAATTAATTTGTGTAAATTAAGTTAAAGTTTATAACAACTGGCACAGTTACTGCATCACAGTGCATTCAATCAATCAGTTTTGTGTTTTAGCCTTAGTAACAGTAAATTTAGCTTGAAATGTTGCGGTGTAACTTCTGTGGAAAGTCAGTGAAAACACTGAGTGCGTATACATGCACATCAATAACCCGGTTATTAGCCATATCCCGGTTATGTCAGTATTCGGGTTACTGCGTATACATGCGCACTGAGAAACCGGGATACTCATATCCGCGTATATATGATCAAATGGAGTATCCTGGTTTCTTGACATAATCTTACAAATGCGCAGTCGCAAAAATTAACTTAAATCAATTTCATAAACCAGGAAAAATACAAACCGTGAGCTCCTTTAGCATAAGAAGCTAAGGAGCTACGAGATCTCCACAAATCCACTGCGCAGATTCTTCATTAAAATCTTCTGCATAAATAAACTCAACTTTACAACATATAAACCATAAACACTATAGAGCTACATCAGCCCGTTTGATCAAATAATTCAGCTCTGATCACATTTGTTTACGTTTTACAGAAACGAAACTTAAGACCGTAGGCTAATTAGCATAAACTGTTAGCGGCGATAAAAACAACTCGCTCCTTGCGCCGCTGATGCGATCAGTTTCTTTTGGACTAAATGACACGACTCTGTGGATTATGTGTGTTATTTCTGTGACAGAAGAGGCGCTAATGATGGTAAGTGTGTTCCGTGCATATAGAGTATAGGAGATAGTTCATATTTTAGCTTTTCAGCGTCAC